CCCTGAGACTCTGATCTCCAATTAACCACCAAAAAAACTAGAAGTACAGTTGTGGCTCAAGTGGTAGAGCACTAGCTTTGAGCACAAAGAGCTTCAGGGACAGTGCCCAGGCCCCGAGTTCAAGTCTCGTCAAATTTTTTTCAATTTATTTCGGTTTGGGTTCCAGTCCAGAGAAGGAAAAGGAGAATCATCATGCATCTGCTCCCTCAAAGGCTTTGCCCCTTCTGTAAAAACTGGGATCAAAGCCAGGTTTCTGTGGCATATTTCTATAATCGTAGCTACTCAGGAGGCGGAGATTTGAGGATCTCAGTTTGAAGCCATGAGGAGCAATAAAGATTGTAAGACTCTTATCTCCAATTAATCATCATAAAACTGGAAGTGGCACTGTGGCTCAAAGTGGTAGAGCATTAGCCTTGAGCAAAAGAGCTCAGGGACAGCACCCAGGCCCTGAGTTCAAGCCCCATGTCTGGAAAAAAGAAAGAAAGTAAAGGAAGAAGAGAAAAGAAAAAAGAAATGGGAATCACTCTCCCAATACCTTACTCATCCTATTAGTTGTTCAAGTTGTAAATATTTTGTGGAGTTGGCTGACTCATAGATTGTAGCATGTTTCTATCTGTAGCTGAGATGGATGACCTAAATTCTTCTCTTTTCTTTTCTTTTCTTTCTTTCTTTCTTTCTTTCTTTCTTTCTTTCTTTCCTTCCTTCCTTCCTTCCTTCCTTCCTTCCTTCCTTCCTTCCTTCCTTCCTTCCTTCCTTCCTTCCTTCCTTCCTTCCTTCCTTCCTTCCTTCCTTCCTTCCTTCCTTCCTTCCTTCCTTCCTTCCTTCCTTCCTTCCTTCCTTCCTTCCTTCCTTCCTTCCTTTCTTTCTTTCTTTCTTTCTTTCTTTCTTCTTTTGTTTGTTGTGGGGCTTGAATCCTGGGCCTGGGCACTGTTCCTTAGCTTGCCACTTGATCCACAGCACCACTTCCGGTTTTCTGAGTGGTTTATTGGAGATAAGTCTCAAGAATTAGCCGGGTGCCGGTGGCTCACGCCTATAATCCTAGCTACTCAGGAGGCTGAGATCTGAGAATCCCAGTTCAAAGCCAATCCAGGCAGGAAAAGTCTGTGAGACTCTAATCTCCAATAAACCACTAGAATACCAGAAGTGGCGCTGTGGCTCAAGCGGTAGAGCACTTGCCTTGAGCTGAATAGCTGAGGGACAGCGCGCAGGCCCAGAGTTCAAGCCTCATGACTGACAAAAAAAAAAAAAAAGTCTCATGGATTTTCCTGCCCAGGTTGGCTTTGAACTGTTATCCTCGGATCTCAGCCTCCTGAGTAGCTACAATTACAGGCATGAGCCACCAGTACTCTGCACCTAAATTCTTTAGTTGAACAATACTGTAGCTTTTCTAGTGAAATCTTTGTCTTTGAGGAGCAACAAGTTGGGATAAATCTACAGTTATCAGTCTTACATTGTTCTTTAGTTTCTGAGGCTAGAACAAACCATCTACATGTCCCATAGTTATATATTCTTCTGTTGGGGCAAATTTCTTTTTAAGCTTAAATGATCCAGAATTTGAGGGACATCAAACCCTTGAAAAATCCTTTGTCATAAAAATTAGTCTCCTTCACTAGTACAATAAACAAAAATTCACATGGTTTACTGTAGGAACAGAGAAAACCTAGAATATATGTGTCTCCCCCCCGCCCCCCCCAGCCCATTTCCAGACAATGGTACAAAAGTGAGAATAGTAGTAGGGTTTAGGAACTATGGAGCCATACATTTATTTCAGATTTTGTCAGGTGATTTGTCTACCTTAGTGGCTTTCTGACATCTCAGATCTGATGCATGTGGGCACAGGTTAGTCTACCTTGTCTTGGGAGGGCTCTGTGTGAACAGAATATAGTGCTGTGGCTTACTAAGAAGATTGTGTTTTGGTGGCGCTGAGACTACATGCCCAGCATGTGGAGATAGGTCAGTTTGCCTGGGTTCCCAAGAGCAAGGCTCCAGAAGTAACTGTCTGGAGGTTAGCTTGGAGTCCCAGGACCACTTAGGCATATGACATTGGGATTCTACTGGTGTCACCTTGGTGGTCCAGCCATAGTTGAGGTCTTTTGAATTTCTATGTAGTTTCTGCACTTTGCTTTCTCAGCCCCTGTCCTGCACACATGCACCCCATCTTGATGCTGTTGACCCTCCAATATTACTTGAGGGGTACTGAAGATAATTTGGGTGAAGTGAATGGCTAGCATACCTCATGACCTGCCAGGGTTACTGAATAGCCTATGTGCCTAGAGAGCATCAAGAGAGAAAATCTTTGCCATCATTATGGCCCATCTGACTGCCTCTGGTCATCTCCCTGAGATTACCTCCCTAGGCTCATAAGGTAAGGGGCTGGCAAAGATGTATTTGTAAAGTAGAGTGAAACAAGAGAAATAAAAGGGGACAGGCTAAAATACCTTCTAACATCCAAGTATAAGAGCTAGGGGCTCAAGTGGGTGATCCTCATTCCAGGAGTGTTTATACCTTCTAACCTGAGGGTTTCACTTTGAACTTTCCTAGATAAATGGTCATGGGACAACTCTCAATCATTCTACTACATTCTATTTTGATAGTATCATCCAAATCTGGAGTCAGTGAGTCTAGATTAGCTTTACAATAAGAATCTTGGGACCTGAGTTTCTCCTTCTTGTGACCTTGAGCAGTCCTTTCTAGTGAAAGGATTACTGAATTACTCCTCTAAGCTCCTTTAAAAGGATACCTTGGCTACTTGTAATTTGATAAAAGGATTAACTTAACTTTTCCCTGCTGAAAGAGTATTTAGGCAGTCAATATTTTAATCTGTTAGGTGTGACTGCTCTTTAGAATTTAGATGGTGGTCTGAATGCCAGTGGTTTACACTATAATCCTAGCTACTTGGGAGACTGAGAAAGGGAGGATGGTGGTTCGAGGCCAGTTTAGGCAGAAAAGTTCATTCTAGTCCATCTTCGAAATAGCCAGCAAAAAGCAGCGCTGAAGGTACGACTCAGTGGTAGCAAACAACATGAGTCCCTGAGTTCAAACCCTAGTGCTGCCAAAGTAGTAAGATATTTTACATATTATAACAATTTTCCAAGGCTGGGAAGGTGGCTCAGTGGTAGAGTGCTTGCCTCGCGTGCATGAGACCCTGGATTCAATTCCTCAGCACCACATAAGCAGAAAAAGCTGGAAGTGGCACTGTGGCTCAAGTGGTAGAGCACTAGCCTTGAGCTGAAGAACTGAGGGACAGCACCCAGACCCAGAGTTCAGGCCCCACAACCAACAAAAAAACAAACAAATTTTCTATATAATTTAATTTCGTAAAATGTTAGGTGTATTAAATGTGTGGGTGATCAGGCACCAGTGGCTCATGCTTGTAGTCCTAGCTACTCAGGAGGCTGAGATCTGAGGATCGTAGTTTGAAGCCAGCCTTGGCAGAAAAGTCCCAGTGAGACTTTTATCTCCAATTAACCATCAAAAGCCAGAATTGGAGCTGTTGCTCAAAGTGGCAGAGTGGCAAAAGAGCTCAGGGACAGGGTCTAAGCCCTGAATCCAAGTTCTATGATTGACAAAAAACAAACAAACAAAAAAGTGTGGGTAGGAACAGGAGGGAAAAACTGGGAAAGAATGAGGGGAGGAGTTTTTGTCCAAAAAGAAGTGTACTCATTACCTGACATTTGTAACTGTAACCTCTTTGTATATCACTTTTATAATCACATTTTTTTAAAAGAAAAAAAAAGGTTAGGTGTATTAATCCTAGCTAACCTAAAAATAGTTTCTCTGGATGTTGGTGGCTCACACCTGTAATCCTAAAGGCTGAGATCTGAGGATCATGGTTTGAAACCAGCCAAGGCAAGAAAGTCAGAGACTCTTATCTCCAATTAACTACCAAAAGCCAAAAGTGGAGGTGTGGCTCTGGTGGTAGAGCTGCAGCCTTGAGCAAAAAAGCCAATTACCTGCAATTCAGCACCTAAGAAAATTCTGTTTCATCTACAGTCTAAAAAAATGCCTTAATCTGTGAGATTCAATCCCAGCAGTAAAAATAATTCCCCTTAGTATTTTTATATATTTTATAACAAAAACTTAGGAGTGTGTGTGTGTGTGTGTGTGTGTGTGTGTGTGTGTGTGTGTGTGTGTCCATGTCCTGGACTGGGGCTTGAACTCAGGGCCTGTGTGTTGTACTGGAGCTTTTATAGGTCTGAGAACAGGATTTGAACGCAGTACATGACACCTTCACTCATTGGCTGGTGCTCTACCAATTGAGCCATACCTCCCACCCCATTTCTAAGGTTTTTGCTCAAGACTAGTGCTCTATTACTTGAGCCACAACTCCACTTCTGGCTTTTTGGTGGTTAATTGGAGATCAGAGTCTCACACACTTTCTGCCCAGGCTGGCTTTAAACCTCAATTCTCCTGATTAGTTACAATTATAGACAGGAGCCATCAGTCCCTTAGCCTAAATGTTGGATTCTTAATTCCAAAGTTCCAGACTCATTGAGCATTTGTTAAATGACTACACACAAAAAAAGCAAGATTGCACTTTCAGATGATATTTATTTTCTTTTACTTCTCTTTATATACAGAACTTCTCCACAGACATTTCTTGGCAAACCTAAAGCCACGTGATTTTGGCAAAGTACCATTTTATCCCTAACACGTTATTAGCATCAAAATCTAACAGTTAACCAGCATTAAATCCATAAAGTATTTATACAGCACAGCACTTCAAGCTTTACACACTTGGCAATGAAACCATAATACAAAGAGGGGGAGAGGCGAGACTCCCACTCCATCACTCAAAATCCGGTGATTACACTGGTTCACTGAGATCAAGGGACAAGGAGTGCTAGAGCTAAAAGTACACTATATAACCTCAGGGTTGTGCCTCATCACCTTTCCTCACCCACTCTCACAATTCTACAGTATCAGATCCAGCTGATACAAATTGAACGCTCTCTGATAACACCACATTTGCTCTGTGGAGAAGACAATTCTACTTAAAATTATTCATTTAGTATGACTTTGAATGCAATTTGTCCCAAAAACTTGTCACGATTATCATGGTTTTTCAGGTTAGGTGATCCTTCAATTTTGCACTCGATGATGACTTCTTTTTCAATCCCGTTGGACCCAAAAATGACCTGGACAGCAACTAAGGGCTGTAGATAACCCCGATGCAGTTTCTTTCCATAATATGGAAAATACTTCAAGTCTATAATCCCGTCCTTGGGGTACGTTGATAAGGTGGCAATGTTTTCATCCTTGGAAACACATCTTATCTTTGGTTGTCCTTGAGGCTTTAATCCGATGATTCTGTTCATTTTCACCAGGATGCACGGTTTTCCTTGGGAATAGCCAAACTCAGGATCACTCAGACCACTGCATGCTTCAAGTAACAAAACAGGAAACCGACATGCGTCATAAACTGGACCCTTCTGTTCAAAAAGTGCTCCGTCTGGACACGCTGTGAGATTCTGCTGTTCTTCTAGAGAATAAGCCTTCAGAAACCTTCTCAGGTCATTCACGTATCCTTCATAAGAACGTGGGTCAGACACACTCAATGTATAGTCCAATGCGGTTGCTGGTTTTGGAAAAACCATAAGTCCTGGACTAACAATCTGGTCACGGTACTTTGGCATATCATCATTCAGCGTCTGCAGCATAACCCACATGGAAAGCGTGAAGAGGGCTGTCAAGAACCCATAAAAAATCAGGTAGAAAAGCAAGAGCAAACCCCAGTTTTGGGCAGTGCGCCCCAGGAACTCCCTGGTGGTGGAGTTGTAGACGGTAAACTTCCTCTGGGTGCGCCGCTGGCTGGAATGCTCATTGTTCCTCATGGTAGATGTGCGGATGGCGCGGTTGGCAAGCAGAGCAGCAGCAGCACGGAGTCTCAGCTTGGCAGCCGCAGGTGGCTTAGCAGAGAAAGACTCCTCTCAGAGCTGAAGAGCCAACTGCCGCGGTACGGAGAGCACCGCAGCTGCTTGAACCTAGGGAGCCTGAAGTCCCCGCCTTCCCAAAAAAGCCAATCCCTAAGCTGCTACTCCGCCTCTTCTCTTTCTCCTTTTTTTCCCCTTTGATTCACTTATCTAGAGAGATACTTAGTTAATTTTTTTCTTGTTTTCTTCAAATAGTTAAACAAAAGGGGTTCAGTTTAACATGTCCAGTTACTGTGTACAATGTATCTTGATGAGAGTCACTCCTTCCGTTATCCTCTCCCTTAGCCTCTGTCTATCCCATTCCCACCCAGAGATTCATCTAACTTTTCATGTTTTGAAAGAATCAGCTTCGAAGTTTGTTGATATTCTGTTAAATTAAAAAAAAAAACTATTTCATTGATTTCTGAAAATTTTATAGTATACGCGTGCCTATGGCTACATGGATCTAATTGGCTCTCCTTTTTTTTGTGCCTCTCCTGGGAGTTGAACTCACAGCCTAGGAGATGTCCCTGAGCATTTTTGCTCAAGACAAGAGCTCTACCACTTGAACTACAAGCTCCACTTCTCACTTTTTAGTGGCTAATTGGAGATAAGGGTCTCAGGGACTTTCCTACCTAAACAGGCTTGAACCCCTGTCCTCAGATCTCAGCCTCCTCAATTAGAATTACAAGTGAGAGCCACTGATGCCCAGCTAATTTGCTCTTTTAAAACTTTTCTAAAATAAAAGCTTAAACAATTAATATAAATTTATCTTGTTTTAAAATATTCATGCCAACTTTACCTTATATATGGTGTATTCCCATGTATATCTTCGGGAGGGTGGGAAAAGGGCACAGAACTTGAGGGGGAAAAATGGTGAAAAAGTGCAGTAGTGGAGCTCACTGGAGCCTATACAACTCATGGGTGGAGATGGGAGGGAGGGACTGGCAGAGAATGAGCGAACAGAAGACACTGTATGAAAGGAAATGTACTCATTACCTGACTCATGTACTTGTAACCTCTCTGTATATCACCTGTATAATAATAATAAATTAATTAAAATAAAAAATATTCATGCAACACTACCAATTCCTATATAAGCCAAGCTTTTAATACATCCAACTAATTTTGATAAATTTATTTTCATTTTCATTTATAGAAAGATACTTTAAAAATTCTTGCCAAGCACTGGTGGCTCACACCTATGGTTCGAAGCCAGCCTGAACAAGGAAGTTTGTGAGACTCTTATCTCTGATGAACTACTCAGAAAAACCTAGAAGTGGCACTGTGGTTCAAGTGTTAGAGTGCTAGCCTTGAGCAGAGAGGCTCACGGACAGAGCCCAGGCCCTGAGTTCAAGCCCCAGGACCTGAAGGGAAAAAAAAGATTCTCTTGAAATTTCTTTTGTTGTTTGTTTTGTTTTTCTGCCAGCACTGTGGCTTGAACTCTGGGCCTCAGGATCTTTGTTGTTGTTGTTTTTTGGGGGTGTGGGTCCGGTCGTGGGGCCTGAGCTCTGGGCCTGTCCAGAGCTGTCCCTCAGCTCTTCAGCTCAGGGCTAGCGCTCTACCACTTGAGCCACAGAGCCACTTCCAACTTTTTTCTTTTTGCTTATGTGGTGCTGAGGAATCGAACCCAGGGCCTCATGCATGCAAGGCAAGCGCTCTACCACTAAGCCACCTTCCCAGCCCCTGGACCTCAGGATCTGGCTTAGCTTTTTAGGTTGGATACTGAAACTATAACACTTGAGCCACAGCTTCAATTCTGACTTTATGCTGGTTAATTGGAGATAAGGGTGTGATATACTTTTTTGCCTAGGCTGAACAAGAAAGGCTTGGAGTCCAGCCTGAACAAGAAAGTCTTTGAGACTCTTATCTCCAGTTTAGCATCAAAGAAGCTGGAGGTAGAGCTGTGGCTCAAGTGCTAGAGCACTAGCCTTAAGAGAAAGAAAAAAGCTAATAACTCAAAGACCATGGCCAGGCCTTGAGTTCAAGCCTGAGGACCAGTGTGCATGTGAGCACACACACACGTGTGCATACACACACACATGCACACGTATGCACACACGCAAGTGCACACACACACACACACACACACACACACAATAGGCCTTGAAAGATGTTACAATTAGGTTTGGGAGAGGGGCAGAAGTTTTTTCTTTTTTTTTTCTTTTTTCTTTTTGGTCGGTCGTGGGGCTTGAACTCTGGGCCTGGGCGCTGTCCCTCAGCTCTTCAGCTCAAGGTGAGCGCTCTACCACTTGAGCTACAGCACCACTTCCGGTTTTCTGGTGGTTTATTGGAGATAAGAGTCTCACAGTCTGTCCTGCCGGGGCTGGCTTTGAACCGCGATCCTCAGATCTCAGCCTCCTGAGTAGCTAGGATTACAGGCGTGAGCCACCAGCGCCCGGCTTAGTTTTTTCTATGTATATGTCAATAATGGGTCTTGAATTTAGGGTCTCAGAGTTCTGCTTGGATTTTTCATTCAAGGCTGGTGCTCTAACACTTGAGCCACACTTCTACTTCCAGCTTTTTGTTGGTTAATATAAGCAAGAATCTCAGGGACTTTAATGCCCAGATTGGCTTTGAGCATGATTCTCAGACCTCAGATTCCCCACTAGCTAGAATTACAGGCATGAGGCACCAGCACCTGGCTGGAGGAATAGTGTTCACTTTGCTATGACCAGATCTCAGTCTTTTTTTTTTTTTTTTGCCAGTCCTAGAGCTTGACCTCAGGGCCTGGATGCTGCCTGAGCCTCTTTGTGCTCAAGGTTAGCACTCTACCACTAGAGCCCCAGCACCACTTCTGGCTTTTTCTGAGTAGTATATTGAAGATAAGATTCTCACAGACTTTTCTGCCCCGGGTAGCTTCAAACCGTGCTCCTTAGATCTCAGCCTCCATAGTAGATTGCAGTCTTTTAATGGCCTGTGCCTCTGGGTACTAACCAGTGGCCTCTTAGGTTTATTTTTCTCCCTTTGAGACAAGATAGTTGTAGTGAGTTGGAGTTGCCTATTTTTTTTCTAATATTTTTTGTTAGGTTTTGATCTAATCAAATCAAAATCAAATTAAGGCTCTGATAAAATAATGTCTAGAATGTTTTTAGATATTTTTAGGAGTGAGAATATTGTTATGTAGCTAAAGCTGGCTTTAAGCTCTAGATTCTCTTGTCACAGCCCCCTAAGTGCTGGAATTACAGGCATGTACCACTCTGTCCAAATACTTTCTTTTGAAGGTTGGATATGTTAAGAATGAACAATACAGGGCTGGGAAGTTGGCTCAGTGGTAGAGCACTTGCCCTGCATGCCTGAGGCCCTGGGTTCGATTCCTCAGCACCACATAAGCAAAAAGAAAAAAGGCGGAAGTGGTGCTGTGGCTCAAGTGGTGGAGAGCTAGCCTTGAGCTGAAGAGCTGAGGGACAGCACCCAGGCCCAGAGTTCAGGCCCCACGACCGGACCAAAAAAAAGAATGAACAATACATTGTACCTAAAAATGTTAATGGCCAGTGTAATCTGTAATCCTAGCTACTCAGGAGACTGAGATCTGAGCATTGTGGTTTGAAGCCAGCTTGGACAGGAAAGCCTATGAAACTCTTATCTCCAATTGACCACCATAAAGCCAAAAGCAGATCTGTGGCACAAGGTAGAATACTGGTCTTGAATGTAAAAGGTAAGGTACAGTGCCCAGGCAGAGTTCAAACTCCAGTACAAGCACAAAAAATGTTACATTCACCAGCCTAATTCTTTTTTTTATTGTGAAAATACTGTACAGAGGGGTTACAATTACATGGGCAAGATAAGGAGTACATTTTTTATCAAGCATTGTAGCCTCCTCCTTTGTTTCCCCTTCCCATCCCTTCCTAGCCTCCCCCCCCCGCCCCCCTACCCATCCTCCCCGCCCCCCCCACAAAAGTTGTAAAGTTCATTTTCGACATAACGACTTGTACGTCTCATTGTTGCATGGGTCCACCTGTATCCCTATTTAAACGATTTGTTTTTCCCCTTCCCCTCCACAAATTATACCGACATCAAATACAGTGAAAGCAGGGGTTATACTGTGAGGGAGGGACATACAAAGCAACAAAGAAATAATCTTGTGTGTTAGAAACAATCGCATGAAAGAAAAAAAACATTTGAATACATATCTTAGGGTTCATTTCCCTAACATCACCTTATCTGACCTTTTCTGCTTGACTCAGACATATACTAGATATTGCAAATAAGGGAAACCATGGGAACTATGTTTCTTTGGGCCTGGCTTACCTCACTTAATATAATTTTTTCCAAGTCTTTCCATTTCCTAACAAATGGGGCAATGTCATTCTTTCTGATGGAGGCATAGAATTCCATTGTGTATATATACCACATTTTCTTGATCCATTCATCTACTGAGGGGCATCTGGGTTGATTCCATATCTTAGCTATGGTAAATAATGCTGCAAGAAACATAGTCGTGCTGGTAGCTTTAGTGTGGTCTTGTTTGTAAACATTTGGGTAAATGCCCAAAAGTGGGATTGCTGGGTCATAGGGAGCTCTATGTGGAGTCTTTTGAGGAACCTCCATACTGCTTTCCAAAGTGGTTGAACAAGTTTACACTCCCACCAACAATGCAGTAAGGTTTCCTTCTGTCCACATCCCCTCCAGCATCTGTTGCTATTAGAGTTCTTGATTTTAGCCATTCTAACTGGAGTGAGGTGGTATCTCTATGTTGTTTTGATTTGCACTTCTTTTATAGCTAGGGAGGTTGAGCATTTCTTCATGTGTCTATTGGCCATCTTTCTTTC